GGGCCTGGTGCACTGGGAAGACCCAGAGGGATCGGGTGGAGAGGGAGGTGGGAGGGGGGATCGGGATGGGGAATACATGTATATCCATGGCTGATTCATGTCAATGCATGACAAAAACCACTACAATTTTGTGAAGTAATTAGCCTCCAACTAATAAAAATAAATAAATTAATTAAAAAAAAGAGAAGCTGTGTCTGCAGGTGGTGTCCACTAGGGTCGTCTGGTGACTGCCGTCTCTGCATCTTCATGGCTTGCTGTCAGATTGGCTTCTGCTCCACTTCCAGATTTCTTGTTGCTTCTGCTCCATCTCCTGTTTGGAGCCTTAGTCTCCTTACTTCTTCATCTGCAGACTCACTGCTTCTTTTGGGCTCAGATAATGAGGCAACTATGCCTGTGGCATCCTGGTACTTCCTAGGATCTTGTCTTCACGACTTTGACCCAAAGGCTCTTGAATCAGACTGTTGGTTTCTTTCTGCTTCCTGTTTTAAAAATAATTTTTATTTTTAAAGTGCATTGTTGTTATTTTAAAATTTTTGTTTATATATTTATTTTTGGTTGTGCTGTGCGAGGGCTTTCTCTGGTTGTGGCAAGTGGGGCTGCTCTCTAATTGAAGTGCAAGGGTTTCTCATTGCGGTGGCTTCTCTCATTGGCTGAGCAGGGCTCTAGGGTGCACAGGCTTCAGTAGTTGTGGTGCACGTGGGCTCATTTGCCTAGAGACATGTGCCATCTTAGTTCCCAGGCTAGGAATCCAATCCATGTCCCCTGCACTGGCAGGTGGATTCCCAACCACTGGACCACTAGTGAAGTTACAGCTGATGAACCTACATTGACACGTCATTATTTTCCAAAGTCTATAGCTTACATCAGGGATCATGGTGCTTATGCTTTTGGAAAAATGTGTAATGACATGTACCCATGATCATGTATCATGTGAAGTAATTTTGCTGCCTAAAAATCCTCTGTGCTCTGCCTGATTTTCTCTTCCTCCTAAACCCTGACAGCCATGAATCTTTTCCTGTCTCCATAGTTTTGCCTTTTACAGAATATCATGTAGTTAGAATCATGCAGTAAGTGGCCTTTTAGATTAGCTTCTCTCACTTAGTAATATGCATTTAAGATACCTCCTTATTTTTTCATGGCTTGATACTTCATTTCTTTTTAGTGCTGAGTAATTTTCCATTGTCTGTATGTACCACAGTTTATTTCTCCATCTGCCTTTTGAAGGACATCTTTCTTGATTGCCTCCAGGTTTTTGGCCACTTTTTACAAAGTGATTTAGCAGCAATTATGCTGAGACTCAGGTAGTTTGGAAGACATTTCAAATATTTAAATGAGTCAATTCTTTCCCTCCTTCTAACAGATCATTAAAAAAAAAAAGCCTGTGGTTGGTAGATTTTCATTCTGGCTGTATTCTAGAGTCACTGGGGGGCTCTTAAAAATACTCTGATGCTGGGATCCATTTCAAGGAATTCTAAATTAATTGTTTGAATTGTTTTATGTGCAGCCAGGATTGAGAATGATTTATCTTTTCTATTGGAGCACATTTTGCATAGAACTCATCCTTGTTGGTACCATGAACACTTCATTTGCCTTAGAAATCAGATATTCTGCTCTGATAAGGCAGTTGATTAGTAACTCTTTTTCTTATAACTTTTTTATCTTTTCTCTGTGGTAACAACCAGAATTATGAGGACCTCAATTGAATCAAAATTTATTCAAGTGTATGAGACAATTTTAAGCTTTTTTTTTTTCAGGAAAATCTTGTCCTTAGCAAAGGTATTTTTGAGACTCATGGCCATGTGGAAATAAAATAAGCCTTTGCCCTAGTGAGAATAAAAACATTACGCATCACTAGGGGCAACTGTGGGGCAACTGTGTAATGAGCATCATACAGAACTCTATGACATATACTATTTAAAATTCTTTTCTTTAGAGCTGCAGTTTGAATCTGTCATCAATGTGAGTGTGAGAATTATTTTCAAGAGAGGGAGGGATTCTATCTTGAGACAGAATAATGAGTAAGAATCAGTGGCTGAGGTCCCAGTGATCACATCAAAATTTGTACAGAAGGGAGAAGGGTTTAGGATGGTGATTTTGTGTGAAGGGTTGGAGTGTTGGGGGTTGCCTTGGAGCAGTGCTTGCATAGCAACCACACAATTTTCATTTCCATCGTATGTTCATTTGGGGTGACCTTGGCAGTGGGTCCCTGGAGTTTATAGGGGTTTAGAGCCTTTCAGGCACCCAAGACAGCATCATTGTGAGAAAGGGAGTTAGAAGAAAAGTACATAGCCATTGATTATGACACGGAGACATTTCAGTAGAACAGGTGAAAAGGAAGTTGTTTTGATAACAAGTATCTGATCAAGGTTTTAGTAATTTTTTAGAACATACAGTTGAAGACATTTCTCCATAATGTTTGTAAGTCCCCTGATACAGGACCCGTGTAATAAAGTTTTATTTTAGCTCATATTCTTTGGCTGACTAGAATGGCTATTGTTCATTCATTTTTTCCTGACTTTTCTGCTGCTAATTCTTCTCCAGTTTTCTCTGTCCTTCTGGGTTTGTGTCATTAAAAAACTTTCCCCAGTGGTTTTGGGAGGAAGTTGAGACAAAGAGGTGTGTCAGTCTTCCATTTTTCTCCATATGACTTTAGGGTCCTTCATGGTCCTGCTCTGTATCTAGATATTTGTGTATTTCTCTCTGTTAGCAGAAACGCCATTGTCATGGACGTAAATGAGGCCAGGATGGATTGGACTGAGCTTGTTACCTGGAGTGGCTGAAAGATGACATATTCTGAGAGGTGAACACACGTTGTAAGAAAGAGGAGCATCCACGTCACATGAAAAGCAAGAAAACCGAAGGCACAGAAAGAGAGATTGGGGGCAGGTCAGGAACGGATGCCCGAGGAGGGTCAGGCCAGAGGTGTCAGGGTCCAGGAGACCGCAACCAAATCAAGGACCTCAGTAACTCACTCTGATTGGCCAGAAGACCTAGAGTGATTTAAAGGCTCAAAGACTGGCCATTCTGGTTGTCAGCCTTAGGGCTCATGTATTTATAAATGGAGTGTTTATGAATCCCTAATGGGAAAGGATTTGAGGGGAAGCACAATACTCAGCTTACTGAGGATCCACTCTAACAGCCTTCAGGAGGTTATGAAAAAGTTAGCATTGCCTTAGTTTTTTTTTTTTTTGGTGAATAATATTTGTTAGAATTAAAACAAGCACTACCAGTCTTCTGCCTCTGCTTTAGACGCTCCTTGTTAGGGAGCCAGCAGGGCTCACCTGACCCTGAGCAGTGTGATTTGCTGGAGTAGAGAGCTGGTTGAGTTTGCAGTAATGTGTGCCTCCGTGTGGCTAAAGAAAAGGACTTGCTTAGGTGTCAATCATAGGATGTTAAAGCTAAATGGAACCTTTTGAGGGAGGGCAGATTGGGTTCATTGTAAGGATCATCTCTGACCAGTTGGCAGAGGCTGCTAAGAACATAGGGTTAGAAAATACTCCAAGGTCCTGTCTAGACTGAAAAAGAGCCATGGTCCATTAGAGTGTCTGTTGGGCAGGGGATGGCACATGGATGGGCATGGCCATATCTGCAGCAGGATTTTTCCAGGCCCAGTTCTCATCCAGTAATTTAATATGTGTGGAAACTGAGGCTCAGAGATGTGGTGATATTTAGAGGTCATCTACTTATTGCTTTGTGTCAAAATGTTGAGAACTTAAATATCCTGCCTTCAAGAGGGTTAGCTGTCTCATTACCTTGTCACATGGCTAGGTTTTCCAGTTCATACATATAATAAATATTTATTGGAGGCCTACTTGGTTTCCAGCCCTGAAAAAGGAGCTAAATATACATCAGTGGGTAAAAACACTAAGTCTGTGTCCTCACTAGCCTTACATTTTGGGAAGGAGCTGGATTACTAATTACTGGGAGAAAGCAGGAAATTTTTGCTTTCTGGGATAGGATACTTGAAGATAAGTCATGATGAAAGGAAATCTGGGGAAAAATCCCTAGCATAGGTATATTTTAGGATGGCTGGAGCTGTGTGGTAAAGGGCATAGGCTCTCTAGAACAGTTAAGTGAAGTGAAGTGAAGTGAAAGTTGCTCAGTCATGTCTGACTCTTTGCGACCACATGGAGTATATAGTCCATGGAATTCTCAAGGCCAGAATACTGGAGTGGGTAGCCTTTCCTTTCTCCAGAGGGTCTTCCCAACCCAGGGATTGAACCCAGGTCTCCCGCATTGCAGGCAGGTTCTTTACCAGCTGAGTCACAAAGGAAGCCCCTTTAGCAGTCAAAAGGGTACCAGAAATCTCATCTCTTAAGACTCCATGCTTTCCTTGCTGTCCGCATTCATGTCAAGCTCACTTCTTCCTCAGGACCCTTTCACTTGCTGATCCCTTTGCCTGGATATCCAAATGGCATTCCTTTACTTTCTTCAAGTCTCTGTCAAAAATCCCCTTAGGAGAGAGGCTTTCCCTGGCCTCCATGGTACAGAAAAGCAGAAGGCAGCTGCAAGGGGAGAGCTTAGGGCACAACTTTTACTGGGGTTTCCATTATGATTGGCTAGTTTGAGAAACCGGAACTTTGCAGGTAGAAGATGGGGTCATGCATGCATTCACCAGGTTCTGCATCCGCATAGACCATCTCAAGTGCTATGATGAACTCTCATGTTCTATGGGAGGGAAGTGGTTTTCAGCCAGGAAAACTGCTTAGAGGATTGAAGATTTTTGGAGCTGAACTGGGACTTTGGCAGGAAAATAATGGAGATAAAGAAGGGAGATTCCTGGCAGAGAAGCACCTCTGGGTTTGTTTCAGGGAGAGTTTGAGAGACCTATAGCGTATTACAGGGGTGAGAGATACCCGAGGGCAGAGGGCATTGCCTGCCAGGTTGAAATGTTTTGATTTTCTGTGTTCATGCAGAGGAGCTATGCAAGAATGGCACATCTGGGAAGGACTCTAGAGGTAATTGAGTTCTTGTTCTTTGTGTTATACAGGAGGAAATTGAGGCCTCAGTTTACACAAGTGCTAAATGGCCAACATCAGGCAATTGTGGAAGGGGCAAAATTTGAGAGATTGGCAAGCTCTTGTGATAAACACTGGTGGGTTGGGACTAAGGGTCCCTGGGTGGGGAAGGGAGCTACCCTGGATACAGGCTCCAGTCTGGGGCAAGGGAGGTCCTGGTACACCAGCAGGGGCTAAGGAAACAAGCTGAGGCAGGAGCTGCACTGTGCCCTGTTGCATGAGGTCAGCAAAGGAAGAATTAACAAAATGGCTCAGAAGACCTGAAAAGAGGCAGGAGAGACTGAGACCATCTAGTGCAGAGAAGTCAAGGCAGGAGAGGATTTACAGTAGACGTTGGTCAAGGGTTCAAAGAAATTCATAGTTTGGGTTAGTTGTGGAGCAAGGAAATGGCTTTCTGTATCACTGCTGTGAGAGGCACCCAGACTGCAAGAGGGGATGGGCACCCCAGAGAATTCCAGATGTTGGCTGAGGTCAAGGAAAAGAGAGAGGATGGGCTCTTGTGCGAGTAACAAGTTAAAGAATGTATCTTTAGGAGAAGGGAGATGTATTTTTGGCTCAAGAGAATAAACTAATCTTGCATAATGAGTTTAAAGTTTTATTTTTCTTTTATCTCTGAGCTTTAGGTCTTTCATCTTGAAACCAGGGATTGAAAAGAATCTATGTTATAGGCTTATGAGGATTAAGTGGGAAAACACACAAATAATGTTTAGCACAGTGCCTGGCACATTATAAACGTATAATACATGGTAGTTATTTTTTTAACATTTTTATTTGCTTACTTATTTGGCTGCTTTGGGTCTTAGTTGTAGCAAGTAGGATCTTCAGTCTTTGTTGTGGCGTGTGGGATCTTTAGCTGCAGCATGTGGGATCTAGTTTCCTGACCAGGGATTGAACCCAGACCCTTGCACTGGGAGCTAGGAGTCTTAGCCACTGGACCACCAGGTAAGTCCCCGTGGTAGTTATTTTTAATATTTTATTTCTACAAGCTTGTGAAGGGCTCATCTCAGAATCTTGAGGCATTTTAAATCTTGGTATCATATATTTATCATTTTATGGAGTCCAGTTGATAAAGAAGTACAATTTCATATATTTTGAAGGACGGAGCTGGAAATAGGCCCAAAGATAATTTCTTTTTCTCTCTCACGTACCTGTGGAAGTTATGGATTTTAATTAAGTGCTATTGTGTGAGCCAAATTGCCTCCTCATGGGTGCTGGTCAGAGTTCGTATCTTGAGGGAGAATTTGGTTTTGGATTTATTACTTACATCTGCAAGAGGAGTAAGTAAGAGTAAGAACAGAACACTCTCTGATAAGCAACTTGACTATTTTTTCATTTTGATCTGAAACCTGTAATCCAAGATTGAGGCAACTTTTCTCAATTTTTTTTAACTTTTCCATAGGCTGGAATGCTCTTATTTAAGCAAAGATAAATCATAGATGATAAAGAGAATTTTCTTTTGAAGGATTCCACCTCTTTTCTTTTTGATGCAAATTTTGTGAAAAAGAGCCCCCAAAAGTGGGGAACTGCCAGGAAACCAAGGCACAAAATCTTTTTAAAGAAGACACCTGTGATGCCAGCTAGAGAGTAGGGCCACATGGAGCGGAAAGGAATTAGTTACAGCCCTAAAACAGGGATAAACGCATCTGGTGTCAGATTAACTTCAGCAAACAATCTTGCTTAGTCTGAAGCACTCTGACTCAACGGCATGCTGATTTCAGTGTGAAAAACAGATGTGTAAAGGCGACTTCTCAATAAGCAAAATGGGGTTGGGTGCATCTTATGTGGACATAAAGCAGTGTCTTAAAATCATGATGTTGAGTACAATGATAAGAAAAGAGATTTCTAATACAATTCCACTGTGTAACTTACACTAAAGCCTTTGACTGTGTGGGTCACAACAAACTGTGGAAAATTCTTAAAGAGCTGGGAATACCAGACCACCTTACCTGCCTCCTGAGAAACCTGTATGCAGGGCAACAAGCAACAATAGAACTGGACATGGAACAACGGACTTGTTCCAGATTGGGAAAGGGGTATGTCAAGGCTGTATATTGTCACCTTGCTTATTTAATTTCTATGCAAAGTACATCTGTGACATGACAGGCTCAGTGAAGCACAAGCTGGAATCAAGATTGCCAGGAGAAATATCAATAATTTCAGATATGCAGATGACACTANATGGTTGGATGGCCTCACCGACTCAATGGACATGAGTTTGAGCAAGCTCCAGGAGTTGGTGATGGACAGGGAGGCCTGGCATGCTGCAGTCCATGACTGAGCAACTGAACAACAACAAATGTAATTTAAAGCCACATATGCGTACAAAGGGGCTTCTCAGGTAGTGCTAGTGGTAAAAGAACCCACTTGCCAATGCAGGAGACATAGAAGATGCTGGTTCGATCCTTGGATCTGGAAAATCCCCTGGAGGAGGGCATGGCAACCCACTCTGGTATTTTTGTCTGGAGAATCCCATGCAGGAGGAGCCTGATGGGCTGCAGTCCATAGAGGTGCAGAGTTGGACACGACTGAAGCGACCTAGTACTCACACATGCATATGCATACAAAGCAGCCCTACTCATTTCTACAGGGATACATGCACATTTAAGGACATATCGCTAACATGTTAGAGAGGTTGCCTAAGGAATAATGCAGTTGAGTGTGGGGATCAGAAATGAGAGGACAAAAATAAAAAGGAGGAAAAAAAAACAAGAGAGGGGATTTGCACAGACTGATAATGACAATGTGCTGTGAATTGAGTATGAATTTAAGAAGTCTTTTAGTTGCTGGTCTTTTTTTTGTTGTTGCTCTATAATAAGTCTAGTGCAAAGGCAAGTATGTTTGGGAAAACATGATGTCCTAGAGGTAACATGGCTTTCAAGGGATTCTTCAGAGCAGTTTGTGTTGGCTTCTTGAGGTGAAAACAAAGAGACTGTTGTTCAGTTGCTTAGTCCTGACTGAGTCTCTGCGACACAGGGAGTGTAGCTCTCCAGGCTCCGCTGTCCATGGCAAGAATACTGGAGTGGTTTGCCATTGCCTTCTCAGAGAATCTTCCCAACCCAGGGACTGAACCCAGGTCTCCTGCGTTGGAGGCAGTTCTTTACTGTCTGAGCCACCAGAGAAGGTGTAATTTCCTCCAAATGTCGGATGCAGGGTGCCACCCGCAGCAGCACTCCAGGGGACGTTCTGCACACGAGGGGGAATGGCTCCAACCTGCCTACTTGAGCTGAAACCCAGAGCCAGACTCCTTCAAGGGTTTTTCAGGGGCTGTATCCCAAGATACTTTACAACTAATGTTTAGACCTCATTCTGGTGGAAAAGTTATTTTATGAGGATTAAAACAGGCTGAGAACTGGCATTTTACATTTAGAGAAATATGAATATATGAGGGAACGGATGAAATATTTTAAGTAGTTCATAGTTAAAATTTTTTCATCCTTAAGTTGCTTGCTTCAACTTCAGCTTATTTATGGGTCTATAAGAGTTATTGGCACGAGTTTCAGCTTTAATCTGTATGGTATGGTCTGCCTGCTCTATCAGGATTCTCAAAGTCTGGTCCCTAGACCAGCAGCATCAGTATGGAACTTGTTGGAAATGCAGATATGTAGGCCTCACCAGAACCTCCTAAACCAGAAACTCTGGTGCTGAAGCCAAACCATCTGTGGTTTACCAAGTCCTTCAGGTGATTCTGGGCAGTTAAAGTTCTAGAAGCACTGATCTGGACTCCTCTTTCTTAAACTTGGCTGTACAGGCTTTAATTTATTATAACCTGCCAGCTTTTTCTAAGTGGAGGAGTTTTGAAAAGACTGCCTAGGCCCAGATCAAACCCGAGACACTTCACATCAGAATATCTGGGAGGTAGAGCCCAGGCACCAGTATTTCTTAAGTCTGCCCTGGTGGTTCTAATGTGCTGCCACGTTAGAGAACCGCTGATCTAGACTAGGGCTTCTCCAGCTTTCACGTGCACCTGAAGCGACTGGGGTCTTGTTAAAATGCAGATTCCCATTGAGTAGGCCTGGGGTGGGGCCTAAGCTTCTGCATTTTTTAGAAGCCTCCAGGGCATACTAATGCTTCTGGGTTGCCAGCCACATTTGGAGAAATAGGATCTGGGGATCAGAGGAAAGAGCATTAACCAAGGGGTCAGTGGACGTGGCTGCCATCTTGCTTGGACTGTCACCTTAATTCTTCTAAGGCCCAACATTTGTTCTGTCTTACCTACCTCCTCAGGATGTTGAGAAAACTGAATGAATAATGCAGAGTTGTTTTCTTGAACATGTGCACATATCTCATGAATTTAGAGTGTGTGTGGATAAACATTTAAATTTTTTAATAGTTGTGAATTTATTGTTATGAGTACTTTACTTAGATCAAATGTTATTGGCCTTCAGTATATAGTAGCTCTAAAGCTGCCCTTTAAAAGACATATATTAAATTTAGAAAGCAAGGCCATTTAAATAAATAATAGTAGAGATAGTTGACAGAGCAAAATTATGAGGATAGGATGAGAGTGACTCACATTTGAGAAGTGCTGAGAAAGGAGATGAAAAAGAGACTGTGAGGGCTAAAAAGAAAAGTAGCGATTGATTCTGATGAGTTAAATGAGTTGATATGTTAGATCATTAGGGATTAGGCATTCTGCAACACTCACATACTTGGTTGCTAGAATCATTATTTATTTAGAAAATATTGATTGATTTCTGCTTTGCATTAGATATTCTCTTGGTCACTGGGGACCAAGAAAATTAGAGGAGGATCAGAGGATCAGATGAAATAAACAAGTCTGCACTTTTAAATTTAATATTTCACTATAAAATATGAAAAAAAGGCTTGCTCACTAACAGCAAGGAAAGCTGTCCTAACAACAATGACTCTTTTATACACAAATAAAAATCCAGTGGAGTTGAAAGTCTCAATTCTGACGGTGTCTAATGGATAGATTTCATTTACTGGATGTGGGGAACAGAGCTGGGCTCCAGTGCCTGGGTTCATTTCTTGAACTTGCTGAATGCCTTTGTGTGCTATGATGCCAAAACATCTTGTGAGAGAGCGTGGGGACAGCACTCAATGAACCTGGAATAGAAGTCACTGACTCTGACTCAAAATAAGGATTTTCTGAGATTTCTAAATGAGGAGGCAAGAATATAGTATAGTTCATCAATACCTTGCAATCCCAGGCCTCTGCCCTTGGATGTGAGTGGCAATTGTCTATTGATCATCTTCCCTTTCATTTACTTAGGGCTTTGGGAATATATAACTGAACCTTCTTTGGGTTTCAGTGTCCTCACCCATCAAATTATAGAATTGGGCAGTCACTAGACTCCCTAAAGGCATAACATTTTGGTATCTAGGACTTTAAATTTGAGAAGGAGTGTCTAGTGGAGTATACATAAACAAGAGTGGAGGGCTTATTAAAAGTGTAGTTATACACTGAATTATAAGATTTCCATTTTTTTTTAAGATTTCCATTTTCTATTAATATCTTTGCTCAATCAGGGTTTGTAATCTTACCTGATTATGGCATCTGGAGGAATGAGCAGATTAAAAATAAAAGTGAGATAAAACAAGATGTTATTTGAACTTAGAACTTAATACTTCTGGTTATTTGATTTGAGAAGGTTAAAGCTATTGTAAATGTGTCCTGAATTGGGTCTATTCAGACAAAGTAAACATAGAGTCACTGTGAGATGAATTTAATAAATTTAGCCAATAAAAGGGGCTTCCCAGGTGGCTCTAGTGGTAAGGAACCTGCCTGCCAATGCAGATAGATGTAAGGGATGTGGGTTCAATCCCTGGGTTGGGAAGATCCCCTGGAGGAGAGCACGGCCACCCACTCTAGTATTCTCGCCTAGAGAATCCCATGGACAGAGGAGCCTGGCGGGTTACAGTCCATAGGGTCACAAAGAGTCCAACTCTACTGAAGTGACTTAGCACACACATGCATGCATGCAGTCAATAAAAAGGAGAGTTTAAACTCCTTCTTTCATCAATACACATATATGAAGGGACAGACAAAAGTTTCCAACCTTAATTGTAGGGTTTGGGGAATTGAAATTCATCCACAATTGCTTGCACCTCTCCACGCCAGCTTACTTGCATACGGAAAGCAGAAGGGCTTTACCAAGGCAGATCTCCCTAGCCAAGCCTCCCTCGCCTGTAACCTGCCATCCGCAGACAGCAGTCTAAGATTTATCTTATCTTAAACAAGACAGAGCCATGGGGAGGATGGAGCCCTGATGACTTTGTTGCTCTGTGTGGAAAAGAAACAGACTGAGTGAATTTGTACATGATCCCTAAGGAGAAAGCATCTTTGTGCTGTATTTCTTTTTGTCCTGGAGATCCTGAAAGTAAGCTAGTTGGAAGAGGCAGTTCATAAAGTTTGGACTTGTTTGAGTTTGGGGAAGAGCCTTGATTACAAAGGAGTAGGTGCTTTATTTATATACACCAGATGTAACACAGGATTCCCTAGTCTATTTTTCCAGAAACTGGGAGCCTCTGGTGAAAATCAGCTTGTCTCAAATGGGAGTCATTCCTCATCGATCACCAGAGCCTGATATGAACATTTCCTCCCCAGAATTTGCTGGAATCTATGTATTAACTTCAAATGATGACAAACTAATTGCACTGGTTTCCTGTCCTGGGCACAGTCTTTCTGCAGATACTAGGGGAAATCAACCTTTCTGATGAGCCAGCTTGTTTTTCTTTGCTGACATGGACCAACAACCTTGCACTTAACAGTTCTTACTGTAAGTGGTGCTGTTGGACCATTTTCCTGTGTACACTTCCAATCAGTACCTAAGTGCATTTAGAGGATGATCAGAAAGATTGTTCCTTTTGGCTAGTAGCATAAGCTGTCTTCATTTCATAACCTCTTCCTCCTGAGATATGCGGAGGCAGCTCTGTCTCCTAGTTTGCAATCCTGAGATTTCTCTAGGATGTGATAAAAAAAATTTAAATAAACCAGCAGGGATGAGTTAATGGTACCTACTGCATATACCTGTCTGTTCTAACCTAAGAGAAGGTAAGGGGTTTTGAGAAAACCTAGGAGCTATGGCAGACAATACTATAGATAGTGTGGGGAAGTGGCGGGGGGGGGGGACTACGGATTACAGAAAGTTAATTGATCATTTATATATAAAATAAGTTTTAATAAAAGGCGCTCAGAAAGGTGCAGGAAAAGGAGAAAAGATTTGCCTTGATGATTAGCCAGGAGAAGTCATTATGGGCTAATTACATGTATGTAAGTCATACTTGTATATATATATAGCTGCATATATGTGTATGTTATTTTTATAATTAGCAAATGGATTTACTTCCTTTTCCCCTGGCAGGCTCCCTTGCATTTAACAGCTCATCCCTGAACACCGAAGGACAGCCGAGCCTCGTAACCCCTGTTCCAGGAGGGTTTGCATGTAAACATCGCTTGTCTACGCAGCTCACTGTTTAGAGAAAATGTGTCACATTTGAAAACTGTGACTCTTTTTTTTTTTGCTATACTTATTTCATAAACTTAAGAGACATATGACTTGTTATTTTCATGGAGAAGTGAGTTTAGTGGCTGTTGTAATCGATAAATTTATTTTTCCTCCAGTGCCATCAGCTAAGGCACTGCAGCAAGAATGAGAGGATGACCAGTGCCCCTGCAGGGCATATTTGAACTGTTTACATTTGAAAATGTAAGAACTTGAGTCTGGGGCAATCTGGCAGGAGAAGGCTGGTATACTTGGTTTCCTTCTGTCACACTTTTGGTGGAATGGATTAGACTTTTAAATCAGGAAATTCAGCAAGATGAGTTAAGCCTTTGCACAAAAGCCGTGGAAGATTCCCAGCTGGTTGGGGGTACAATATGGAAATGTCTTGCTAAATTAGGGTCTGGTGGAATGTTGCTCTCCTGGCAGCCAGGCTCTGTTTCTCAGCAAGCAGTCTGTGGGCTGCATGTAGGCTGGAGCACGCTGAGAGCATAAGCATCGCCTTGCTTGTGGAAGACTTGGTGGTTCAGATGTTTTCCATTAGAAACTGGGCGTGGGCTTTTTCAATTTAAACTAAAGCAGCAGTTCTAGTAGGAAGAAACTCCCCGATCTGTGTCTTCTGTTTCTGGATGCCGTTCCTCAGAGAGCCAGATTTCAGCAGAAAGAGTTGTTAATGGTGGACTTCGGGCAACGGAAACCCCATGGGAGGAACAGGAAAGATGGAGAAAGAGGGGGTACTGTCATGATCTTCAACACTTTAGTAGAGGCTGTTGATGTTACAATAATCAGTCAAGATGAACAAAGGCTCTCACTTTGGATGAAAATGTTACCTTCCCTTGCAGTTTCAGGTAACTGAGTTCTAAGCCTTACATAACCACACATTTTCCTACCTGATGGCCGATTTTTCTGGTTGTACAAGCAGTGTCCAAGTGATCAGGTAAAGCTGGTTCCAGAACAAATATTTTATACTGTACTGAGACAATCACAAGCTCTTGCCAAGGTAAGGCCTGATCTTTCCTTTCCCTCCATCATATAATTTCTGTGTGTTAGGTATGAACTTCCTCTTGGTTTGGAGGATTGACTCTTATTTAACCTGAATGAAGCTCTTAATATCCTTTTTCAGACAGAAACACAATTTGACTCCTGGTTCCTGAGTTCGTATTCATGTTTCTTGCTGCTGGATACCTGGGGCTTTTCTGCCAGAGGGCTAGGTGTTGCTGTCCTCCAGGCTGTGCTCTCTCCAGAACTGTGGCATGTGGGGAGGGGGCTGCTACTGAGAACTCAGGATACAGATGGGCGGGTGTGGAGGTGGGTGATCCTGGGAAACTCAGAACCTGCAGATTCTTGTGTGGGAGAATTAACTGCCCACACTCTTCCTGGCAATGTGTGTGTCCTTGGTCAAAGAAGAGCCAGATGAGAATGTTAGATGAAGGGATGAAATTGATATTCGTCATCATATTAAAAGCAACTCAGATAACTAGTTTTCAGACGGTGATCAGTCTCTGATCCCTCAGTTAGGGCAGGTTGAAGGGAAAACCATGAGGTGAGTTTTCTTTGTCACATCCTACCTTGCCTCTGCTCCTCAAGGATGCCCCCTGCTCACCCAGTCTGACCCTGCCCTTCAGTGCCTTGCCTTAAGAAGGGGAACCAACAAATTTCCCAGTGTTAGCATATATTTAGTCTTTCAAGATTTTCATTTCTATTTTAATTAGGGCACTCTAGGAGAAGAGCTAAGCACTCTAAGCTCTTAAGTAAAAATCTGAAATGGTGAACTTCTTTATAACAAGGGGAGATATTTGGGGGCAGGTTGAGCTTTCCGGATGAGCGGGGAATGTGGGTGCCAGCTTCTTTGGTACCTGAAATATGCCTTCATTTTAATAGGGCAGTTCCACTTCTTCTTTTTCAAAATTTGGGACAATACTTGTAGTGGTTAGGCGATTGGAACCTGAATTTTGCTATTTACCAACTGTGTGACCTTAAATAAGTCACTTAATCACTTCAAACTTCAACTAACTTCATCACGTACAATGGTAGTAATAATGATATCTTTTCAACGAGTTTTTGTGAGCTTCAAATGGGTTATTACAAACACACACACATATATATAATTTACATGGAATATTCTTTAAGGATAGTAAAAAATCTAGAAACATTTATTTCTAGATTAATGAGATAAACAAGGGCAGTTCCCTTGGTATCTCTAATTTTCTTGAAGAGATGTCTAGTCTTTCCCATTCTGTTGTTTTCCTCTGTTTCTTTGCATTGATCGCTTAGGAAGTCTTTCTTATCTCTCCTGGCTATTCTTTGGAACTCTGCATTCAAACAGGAATATCGTTCCTTTTCTCCTTTGCTTTTCACTTCTCTTGTTTTCACAGCTATTTGTAAGGCCTCCTCAGACAACCATTTTGCCTTTTTGCAATTCTTTTCCATGCAGATGGTCTTGATCCCTGTCTCCTGTACAATGTCACGAACCTCCATCCATAGTTCATCAGGCTCTCTGTCTATCAGATCTAGTCCCTTAAATCTATTTCTCACTTCCACTGTATAATCATAAGGGATTTGATTTAGGTCATACCTGAATGGTCTAGTGGTTTTCCCTACTTTCTTCAATTGAAGTCTGAATTTGCCAACAAAGGTCCATCTGGTCAAGGCTATGGTTTTTCCAGTGGTCATGTATGGATGTGAGAGTTGGACTGTGAAGAAAGCTGAGCGCTGAAAAATTGATGCCTTTGAACTGTGGTGTTGGAGAAGACTCTTGAGAGTCCCTTGGACTGCAAGGAGATCCAACCAGTCCATCTTAAAGGAGATCAGTCCTGGGTATTCATTGGAAGGACTGATGCTGAAGCTGAAACTCCAGTACTTTGGCCACCTCATGCGAAGAGTTGACTCATTTGAAAAGACCCTGATGCTGGGAGGGGTTGAGGGCAGGAGGAGAAGAGGACGACAGAGGATGAGATGGCTGGATGGCATCATCAACTTGATGGGCATGGGTTTGGGTAGACTCTGGGAGTTGGCGATGGACAGGGAAGCCTGGTGTGCTGCGGTTCATGGGGTCGCAAAGAGTCAGACACAATTGAGCAACTGAAATGACTGAAACAAGGACAGTACTGGAACACTTCATTGCCCTTTTGTATTTTTTGAATTTTGAACCTTATGAATGGACAATTTACATAAAATTAAAATGTCCCTAAATAACTTACCAGGAATTGGATTAATATAAAGTAATGCCATCTAAATGGTGACTGTCTCTTATTCAGTGCAGGTTACTGATGAGTGCTTCATAGAGCTGGCCTCATTGAATCCTCACAAGTGTTGTGTGGGGGAGGTGTTCTAGTGGGATTCATGACTGGGATATCAAAGTAGGGACTTTGGCAGCTATATTCTGTATGTGTAATAATTTAAAAATATGTTTGTCATAAAATACTTCAAACATACAGGAAAATATGCAGAAGTATTTTTCTATTATTATTTAAAGTGTTCTGAAAGGATGGTCATAGAACTTAGTATCCAAACTGGAATACTCTTGAGAGAGAAGGGGCTGCTGTTGCTAATTATGCTTGGATAACAAATGTAAACTCAACAGCCCCAGGCAAACTGAGTCATATGGTCACCTGGAAATCAAGCATTACTGTAACTGTTGAAGTCCCTCTTTAGGCCTCTTCCTGGCTCATGTCTCGTTTGCCTCTCGTTTGCAATCATGATCTTGATATGGATGTGCACACTGTTCACAGTTTGCTCATCCTACATATGTGTGCATAATAAACTGTACAGAGTATTCCTTTGTGTGTTTCCAAATGTTAGATAAATGGTATCTTATGTTGTCACTTTTTCCTTCTTTTTCTGAAAAATTAGAGGAACTGGGCCAAGGAATAATGATGTATTAGCTAAGGTTCTTCTGACTGAAGGCAGCAGAAACTAATTTTGGCTAGCTTAAACCAGGGAGGGATTTCATGAAGAATATTGGGACATCTTAAGTACCTCATGACTGAGAAGGAGCATTCAGGCCAAGTTATGGAATCTAAGCAACAGGTATATATAGATTCTATTGCTCCCACACCTGTTATCAATATCAATATGGCCAGAGTGGCCCCCAATTTCTGTATGTCTGGGTTCCAGTATTCAAGTTCCAGAGACTGTGAAGAGAATCCAGTTGCGCCAGCTATCCTTCCTAGTCAACATCCTGTATATGGTCAGGAATGCAGGATGATGGAGAAAGGAAATAACCACCGAGAACTTGTTCATGGAATTGGGGCTATTCCCAGAGGAGGAGAAATTGTGAGCAAAGCAGGGCATCTAAAGAGATGACAACCATAGTGAGCAGAGAAAATGTAGAGATGAGAAGGAAATCTCTTATGTTTATGGCTTCTTCTGAAAAGGAATATAGGGAAAAACACTTGTCCATTTGGGGATTCCTTTCTGGCATTTCTGAGGGAAATTTAAATGGACTCCAAAATTTCTAGATTCTGAGAAAAATCGGTTTAGGAAAAAAAAAGTTGGAAGAAATGTTACAGTTCTCCTGTGAGAATTAAAGTTTAAAAGTCCATTACTTATTTGAAGAAATTCACTGACTTCAAGTTGAAAGCAGGAGCAGGAAATATTGCTGTGCAGAAGTCAAAGGTCAAGGTCAGCATTTCTGGGAACAAGGACATCAGCGGTGGAAGGGAAGCATCAGTGAGACTTTGCTGCATCTTCTGCTCTAAGTGTGTTCATGGCTCTGTTCACTGCCAACAGTGCATTATTCTTACAGATAAATATTAGTAAGTTTATGGGTTTAAGATGCTTTTTACAAATCCTATGGTGTTCTAAGACATACCAGGTATTGGAAGCAAAATATGTCCTTAAATTGACTATTCTGACATTTGCTTCTCTGTAGTACTCTTGATCTTGCCTTCAAATATTACTTGAATTCTATTGGAAAGAACATTTGATACTTTGTGGGGTTAAAAATTTCATTTAAAGAATAAGAGTCTTTGAAAAGTTGTGGAATTATCTTCCAATTTAAAAATTATTTTTATTTAGTGCCATTTTGTGTTAATTTGTTCATTGCTTTTTAATGTTTTCTATTGTCTTGTATGTCTATTCAGTAGAGATCATTTTTACATAGTATTG